CTGCGATTAATTCTGCTGGCGTGGGCATCCTAGTGATATTACATCATGACGTGCCACCCCCACCATGCAGGCCTGTCCTTCAATCCATATTTTTATTTTTAATTTTTTTTTCTTTTTCTTTTTTTGTGCAGATCTAGCGTTGTGTGGCCATGCAAAGACTAGGGCTGTGATGATTTCGAGTTGCTGATGCTGCCTGGCCTGGCCTGCAGAGACACGTAAAAATCGTATAGGAGACAACACGTGAGCCCTGTACTAACAGCGAAAATGCCAAAAGTCTCCGTCCCACTAGGAACAAGGATCTCAAGACGATCCCCAAGAGTTCCTACCAAATCAGGGAGCTGAAGAGAAACCGATACCCTGTGCGACGATGTCTAAAACCGCTCTCAAATATACTGGCTAGGCGGGTGATGGGCGAAGCCCAAGGGTTTGTGTATTAGCCCTCCTAGGCGTCGAAACCCGGCGGCATCGGTGGCCCCTCCGGAAGCACAGCCGACCCCTCCCTTCGCTGCAAATTGGTGGGATGTAATCCAGGGGAAAAATACCTCCGAGGTAGTCGTATTTCTTTTTAAGACAAGGGCAGACGGTGTTTAACCTGTTGTCATGGAGGGAAATGTAGTAGTTCGAAAGGGTGGCCTGCCATTGACTGAATTTTGCCTCTTTGAAGGGGGGGTTAAGGACCATGATTTGCTGTGTTCTTCCAAAAGGCAAGACAGACGCCTGGGACTGGCCTGAACGGATTTTCCTTTACCGGCCGTACATTTTAGTACGAAGACTCAGTCCCGCATAGTACGGACTGCTTCACCAATAGCCCATGGAGTGCAATATAGTCATTTTTGGTTCGTGTCCAGCGGTACTTTTCTCGTCGAATATTCTTCGTGCCCCGTCGATCGCTTCAACAAAGAGATCCCTTAACCACAACATAATCTGCCATCCATTCCCCACGATAGACACGCCCCGAGAGATGGGATTTCATTGCTGCCCTTGATTCAATCTGTTAAAGCTTCATTCAACCCACATCCTCGTGAGCATTCCAGGAACGGGACTACAATGACGTACCTAAACCCCGTCCCTAGACTGTGGACAGACCATGAGCACTGACTTTCTGGGTCGTTAAGGAGCCCTGACTCGGAAACGGAAGCGTTGGACGACGTGTACCTCGAGACCGTAACCATCCAAGGTCGCGTATTTCAAAAGTTCTCGATCGACCACCAGATATTTTTTGAGCCGGTGGACGGAGTAAGATCAGGAAAAAGTCTGGGACTCGGGACAAACCTGACCGCTGATCCACCGCCAGGAAGAGGCAGAACGACTCGAGCTCCAGCACCAGGTTTTCGACAAGGTTTTCGACAACAGGCTAATTTTTCCGCCGATCCCGCGGCCTCAAAAGATCCTCGACTGTGGCTATGGCACTGGATCGTGGGCCATCGGGGCTGCGGAACAGCACCCCAAATGCAAGGTACGTAGTCCAGGTGGGTTCGTTCTCCCAGGTACCAACCAGCTAATTGCTTCAACTGAAGGTCATCGGCCTCGATATATACCCCTATATGAGCCCAGACGACATACCGGAGAATTTATGCCTACAAGTGAGTCCATCATCTCTCAACTGCGGCAGCCTCGCTATGCACGAGTCGCTATAACCATGCCCCTTTCCACATTCTCACTGTTCGACGAAACGTCCCCTGCGACCCCATTTTGCCGAATCTAGCGAAGATAATTTCTGAACGGCAGCCTGTCAATTCTGAGAAATGTGTCACTAACATATCTATGTCGCCATATAGGTCGATGATCTGAACCGTCCATTCACATTCCCCCCGAACAACTTCGACCTTGTCCATTCAAGGCTGCTTGCAACTGGCATCAACCGAGACCGCTGGCCCTCCTATATCCGAGACATTAAAAGGTCTGATTCCTGACGACCGGCTCTCTGATCCAAAACGAGATATCCCCGACGCCTTAGACTAACTTTTGGTTGCCACAGAGTTTTAAAGTCAGGGGGCTGGGTGCAACTAGTCGAGATATACTTCAATGTCCAGTCAGATAACGGCTCGATCACCGAGCAGCATGCATTGAGACAATGGAGCACGCAATTAATGGGCTCTTTGGAGGAAGTGAAGGACCTTCGCGTGGGGACAAAGTTGAGAAATCTTCTGACAGCAGCAGGCCTGACCGAGGTCGATGCTCGGATGATCCCTCTTCCTCTATCCGCATGGCCAAATGGTAGAGTGCATATATGCCATATGAGTGAAAGGTTTCTTTAACACTGGACAGACCCAAGGATGCGAGACATAGGCGCCGCAAACCGTGATAATGTTAAAAAACTGCTTCCCGCGTTGGGGCTTTATCCATTTACCCAACGACTGCGGATGCCCCCACAGCAGTTTGCAGAGCTGATAGCGCGAGCACAGCAGGAAGCCGATACCCACAATTTGAAGGCCTACTTTCCCTTGTGAGTCCGCTCTTCAAGCAATCCGTGACGGTGTTCTAACAACACGAGGTATGTTTGCATCGGACGAAAGCCCTAGTAATTATTGCCGGAGGGATGGGTGTGATATTCAACCCGCGATCCTCTTCCCACGATTAGTAGAGAGCTGTTGTATCTCTATCAAAGATGTTTCTGGCTTGACTGCCCAAGGGAACCATAATGTTCCATCATCAGATTAGATATTTTGACATTGAACAGATAGAGCTTGAAAGCAGCTAAATATTGGTCAGTTTCCACCGGAACATGTGTCTCAGTATCTCCCTTCCCCTCTAGGAGTTATGTCCCTGGCGGATCTAAGTACTACCACCACCCCGCATGACTAAACCGTCCACAAGCAACAGTGTAGTTATCAAAACTAGCAGGTAACTCCATACGCCAAACGTCCGACGGGAGGCTGTCTCTCGCGCATAACGGTACTCTACAGGGAATAAAGATAGCAGTGGGCTCGAATTCGGAGATGGGTCACTTGGATGAAAATGAAACCGGTACCTCGCGGGCATGCAGTACGAGGATTGGACCCTCAATCAAGAGGCCTGTATTAAAAGGCCAGGCAGGGCCCTGGGCGTATGCCGGATATGCCGCTTCGTTTTAGCCCAGACAAAAAGGTTGTGTTGATGGAATGAATCCTTCTTTCCTCAGCCAGCTGACTCTGAGTGAGCGGTCATCGTTTCTAGGAAGCAATGGAACTGACGTCGTTGTCTTGATCTCTTTATCGGTCCGGGAGGCGCCACTGTGGATCTGCAACTGTCTGGAATATAAAGTGAGTGCTAAATGGGGACTGTTGTCCCAAAAGCCAGGAAGACCACTCAAACGAATGGGAAGAGGGACTCAAAGAAAGCCCGTGCACCTAGAATCGTCATCTCAAGAGCTAGCGAGCATATCGCGAGTATGATGGCTTGTGGGAAGATATCTCGTTGTTCGATCCGAGCAAGGTTCAGTGGAAACTCCAACGGAGTAGTCCACCAAGTCGAACCTGAAGTTATTGCCACCTAAGAAGGGGGAGAGAGAGAGAAGAGAAGGGAAAGGGAAAGGGAAGACGGTGTAGGGGACAAGAAGGACTGGGAAACGGGCCCCGTCTCGGGTAGGGTACCAAACTGACGGGTCGTCTCTGAACTTTAAGCTGGAACAAAAAAATTACCTGCCAAAATCGTCCCTCATGGAAGCTTCCTCCCCCCTTCTCTTCTTCCATAACCGTGTCTATACAATGTCCAATTACTACTGCCTTGATTACTAGTGAAATACTATGGCGAGAATTGGCACGGATCCATCCAGAACCCTCTTGCGGATCGCTCAGTAGGATTGGCGTTGCCAATCTCTGCCTTCCAGAGTTGGACGTTACAACTATTAATAGTGGCCACCACTTGAAACTCTAGTTACACCATGAAGAGGCAAATTGTTAAACCAATGGGTAAGAGAGAGAATTAAGACGATGCTACAGGCAAACTTTCATATTCCAAACGGTCCTTTGTGGACTCTGGTTGGTGCTATCGTCATGATGGAAAAGTTTCCTACGATAGACTGTGTGGGGCAAAGGGAGCTGCGGGCCTCTGTAATTTCCCAGTAAACCTTGCCTTTCTTTCTCTCCGTGAATAAATGGCAAAGGACCATTGCAGTTGAGTAATCAAGCCCCAGGAACCAACAGTGGGTACAATTTGTGTCAAGAAAAATATTGGATTATTTCGCTCTTTCTAAACCAAACCGACGTGGGCTGGTAGGTATGTGCTTCTGGTTCCGTGTCCCAGAATTGCACCAAGGAGACCCAACACCACGGACATGGAATGCTAAAAAGGGGCTTAGTTGAACCTGCCATTCTCACAACTGCATCTGATCTATCAAATCTATGACTCGTACAGTAGCTAAGTCAAACGCGTCTAGACTCGCTGAACACTACCATGTGGCAATCTGTAGCTTCATTTCTTCCGCATGCTTTAACTTATCACAAATTGTGGAATGGGACCCGCCGATAAACCAAGGATTGACCAACCAGACAACCCAATTGCTGAAGGAGCACCTTTGAGGCTCATCCGCGTAGGCGCCCGAACCATCCAATCGGGCGCTTGTGCGCCTATGGCGCAAATTTACCAACCTGAGTTCCGCCATAGTCGCTCGGCGCGCTAAATGCCAAATATGGTAAGTCTCCGCGCGGATCAGAAAAAAGTTGGCCGCCAATTCAGATCCGTCGAAGAATAATCCTATACCACCTGCCAAAAAGGCTGCGCAACCCAATCTCCCAAAATGCCGTCCACATACAAGAGGGATAAGCCGTGGGATACGGATGATATCGATAAGTGGAAGGTTTGTTCTCTTCTTGTGATCTCCCCAGGTAATATACGCTCGTCTCCTAACCTACCATCTACGACTAGATCGAGCCATTCAAAGCCGATGATAATGCCGCCGGTAGTTTCGCCGAGGAATCCTCTTTCGCTACGCTCTTTCCCAAATATCGTGAAGTCTACCTGAAGGAAGCATGGCCGGTTGTAACAAGGGCTCTGGAAAAGCAGGGAATCGCTTGTACTCTGGATTTGGTGGAGGGTAGCATGACTGTGAAGACCACCCGGAAGACTTTTGACCCAGCCGCAATCCTCAAGGCCCGTGATCTCATTAAGCTGCTTGCTAGAAGTGTGCCTGTGCAACAGGTAGGTTGATCGTCTACTGTTTCGCAATATTGTCGGGACCCATCCGCTGACCGTTCCGATCGATGATAGGCTTTGAAAATCCTCGAGGATGGCGTCGCATGTGATATCATCAAAATCCGAAGCCAAGTCCGCAATAAAGAACGTTTCGTAAAGCGTCGCCAACGTATCCTAGGACCCAACGGTTCGACTCTTAAAGCCCTCGAGCTCTTAACCGAGACATATATCCTGGTGCAAGGAAACACTGTCTCCGCAATGGGTCCTTTCAAGGGTCTAAAGGAAGTGCGCAAGGTGGTGAACGACTGCATGGCCAACATCCATCCCATCTACCACATCAAAGAGCTCATGATCAAGCGTGAATTGGCCAAGGACCCCACTTTGGCCCACGAGTCCTGGGACCGATTCCTGCCAAACTTCAAGAAGCGCACCCTCTCAAAGCGTCGCATGCCATTCAAGGTCACCGACAAGTCCAAGAAGGTGTATACTCCTTTCCCACCGGCCCCGGAGAAGAGCAAGGTGGACTTGCAGATCGAGTCGGGCGAGTACTTCTTGTCCAAGGAAGCCAAGGACCGTGCACAGAAGGAAGAACTTATGGAGAAGCAGCGCGTGAAGCGCGAGGAAAAGATGAAGGAGCGGGCCAAGGCGTTCGTGCCGCCCGAGGAACTGGAGAGTACCAAAAAGGAAAAGAAAGAGAAGAAAGAGAAGAAGAAGCGGAAGCGCGACTCGGAAGCAGAGGCAGACGCCGATGGTTCCGAAAAGAAGGAGAAGAAAAAGAAGAAGAAGAGCAAGTCCAAGGAGAGCGCCTCGTCGGATGGAGAATCTTAAAATTGTTGCTGATATATATGTCCCCCTTATGCTACTCTTTTTTCCTTCATGTTCTCCGTCAGATATTGATCCTTCACGTTCACTTTCCCGAGATACGGCGCTTAGGCATAGCATGGGCTGGAGTTTTTTTCACTCTTCCAAAAGTTCGGACCCAAAAAATTATATATCCTTTTGCTTCTTTCTAGTGAATTTGCTTTCAACATGTATAACTTGTTTGTAGTGTGACAGTAGCTCCGAACACAAAGAGAGATTTACTTAGTATAATCTCATTACTAGCATGTCCTACAATGTAACTAGCAGTGGCTTGACTAAACTTCGCCATCGTCTTAGCCTACTCCATGTACTCCCTTTTTTACTGGCAGTATGTAATGGACTCTCCCGACTGCCTGACATATAACTTAACCATATCAACCCAAATACATAAATCACCACATTCAGAGTAAGAACAAACACAAACCCAATCGGTAAACAACTCATACATCGACAATGTCTTCAACAAGAAGAGGCAGACAATTATATCTCAACAGAACAAACAATATTGCATAAGAAATCCAAACCAACAACAAGCCCACAACCTCATAGATTGCCCCTTACACTATACACAATCCCCAAGGACACCCCACAAAGACACTCAACAACATCTACCTCCTCAACATCTCCTTCAAAGCAGCCACTTCCGCCTCTCTCCTGGCCAGCTGGAGCCTAAGCTCGTTCCGCTCGTGCTCCATGTCCCTCAAAGCATACTCCAGCTCAGCAATGCGATCACGTCCCTTCTGACGGTACCTCCGGGCAGCCATGGTGTTGCGCCGTCGTTTGATGGCTGTCGTGACATTATCATCGCTAGGGTCCTGTTCGAGGGTGCCAGCTTTTCGCTTAGAACGACGGTTGCTCGACTCTTCAGGGGATAATGTCTCGGCTGGGTATTCCTGGGCAGGTAATGAGTCTGCGGCGTCAGTGTTCGAAGGTAGAGTTTCGTTATTGATTAAGCTGGGGGTCTGTTGCTGAGATCCACTATGCTGGTGGGAGTGTAGGGAGAGGTGGTTATTGCCATGGGTACTAGTAAGAGGATAACCTGGTACCAGTAAGTCATGGTTTTGATCACATTGGTCAAAGAACAAACAAACAAACAAAAAATAAAAGACATACCATTGAACCCGGCCCCCGTATACGATGCATTTAATGGACTGAACAGTCTCGCCAGGGCAGTATCTTCGATTCGACCGAATGGCGCCGTAAGAGAAACAGAAACCGGCGGGTTCGACGATGGCGACAACAGATCCGAGGGAAGCAGGGGATCTGGTCGGCCTTGAGCGGCAACAGGGCGCTGCTCAGATTGGGTCTCTAGCATATCATCGTTCCAGTTAAGTACTGGTGCTGCGAAGTCGGGTACCGGCTCCCAGGGGGGTTCACCAAGGAGGGACTGGTTCCTTCTGCTGCTGTGGTCGGGCGAGAACCATGGAGTGCGAAATGGCCATGATGGACTTGGGTGGTTGTTGTGCGGCCACGAGCTCAAGGTTTAGGGCCTCTCTCTCCTCTACAGGGGAGAGGCTGATGCTTGCGGTTCGATTTTGACACACTGCGTGTAAAGTGGGCTGGTTTTAGCAGCTCACTTGTTGAGATTGTTGGTGTAAGGAAGAAAACTAGCAAATTGGAACAAAAATGCACCTTGTTTTTATATACTTGTGGGTACCCACTTGGTAGACCCTCGTGCTCTGGGGTGTTGTGGACCACTTCTCCCGCTATTGGAGGGTGTCAGTTACTGTCTAGGAGGAAATTACAGCTATGTACCTAGTACAAGCAAGAGGAGTATGCTTTACGATCACTTATTGTGCTTCAATGTGTGGTTTGACTCACGTCTGCGCCGGTGAGCAGGATGTTCTGACTCTACAGCTCAATCTTTCTATATTGTTAACCAACAGGTACCATGTACGAGCTTACTACAAGAATTAAATCATACAAATCCCTTACTATAAGGAGTTGCTGAGCATAATGTGATAGCCAATCCGGGACGGAAGACTCTAGCAACGCTCAGTCGGATACACGGAGTGAACCAAAGATTAAACATTAGGACAGAAGTGGGGATGAAATTAAACAAGAAAATTAAATGATCTAAAATTCCTTCGAAGCTTCGTCCGAGGGCTTCGTCCGAAAGCCTTAACCAATGCACTTCGAACATATATATCCCCACTTACTCTTTTGATGTACATGCGGGCATCCATCGGGGAAAATCATAATGAGTCATTCTGATTAATACGGTGCTTACCCGAGGTATGCATGGAGCAACAGAGGTAAAATTAAACCCTTTATCTATTAAAGGTATACTATAATGTATTGTAGAGATACTTGCACAGAGCTTTTCAACGGTAGAGGGCTCCTATGCTAATCGAATGAGTAAACGCTAACTGCAAGCCCTTCTCCGTACACAAGGTACAACAACCTCACACTAGTGCATAACACCATGATAACATACATTGATGTGGAAGATATCAGATCTACTTCATATGGCTATATGTTGTGTACATAGTACACCAATCCTCCCGGTTTCTCTTCCAGGTCCCTACAGCAAATACTTATATAACTTACATGTCTTCCGACCCATTCCTCTCCTTACCCTGAAGAAACTGCTCCTGCTCTCGTCGGCTCTTCTTTAGATCCAGCCAGATCGCTAAAACAGCAAAACTGGCCACGCTCAGCCCAAATAGAAAGTAGAAAGGCATCGAGGCGTTTCCAGACGGGGTCGCATCGATAATAGCACTCGAGACCAGAGGCCCAATGAACGACGAGGTCTTGCCAACGATACTGAATAAACTAAAGAAGAGGAAGTCGTGGCCTCGGGGTGCGACTTCGGAGATCATGATTTGCGAGTAACTATACCATGGGCAAACGAAAAGGCCGTAATATACTTGGTAGAGCTATTTTTCGCGCAGTTAGTGTCGGACAATACTCCCAGAACGGAGAGGAAGTGTCTGACGTACCCAGAACTCCCAACCATGGTGGAAACCAAATTTCTGTGTCCAGATGCCTATCATGCCCCAGCCGTCGAGTAATATAATTGCGACGGCAATGGTGTTGAACATGGTTTTGGTGCCGAGCTTGAAGCGTTGCTGGATGAACCAGAAACCGTAAATCCCCACTGCCTGTTTTGATGGGTTAACCACGTACGAGAGAAAAGATAGGTTGGTGCACAAACCTGAGCTGCGATTCCAGCGATCAGGAGATAAGTCAATTCTAGAGTGTTATAAGAGACCACACTGTTCTGCAAGGTCGATATCACAGTCACAGTTGTGTTCAATGAGTCGCCCAAGAGGAAATATCCTATAGTTCCGATTAGCAACTCCATAGGCAACCCGATGCACTGGGAAAAGACCAAGATGGAATCCTACCAACAAGATAAAGCAAGCTCTGCTTCAACCTCCACACCTGCTTCGCAGCATAATAAAGCTGCCACAGACCCGCAACGAAGATATTTCTCCCCTGCGGATCCTGACCTGGCCGACGCTTCTCAAGGAAGAACCAAGGCAACGAAACGAGCAGCCACACACCACTCGCAAAGGCAATCAGAACACTCAAGCCCCAATTATTATTTTCCTCACTTGCATTGACACGCACTCCAAACATGATACCCACAATAATCGCAAGGATGACCACCTCGGCACAAGACTGGACATAGAAAGCGATGTTCGCCAACCTACTCCGCTCTATCGTATCGGCCTGGTCGTATTCATCACGCGATATCGCTCCCGCGGTGTAGGCATCGGCTTTTGCTTTCATTTCAGGTGTATTGCGCGCCAAACCCGGGAATGCTGCCGTCCAAAAGGTCAGCGTCGTTTGATAGGCGATTAAGCCAACGATGTATAGTCCCACGCCGACGTGCCATTTGTCTGCCGTGTGGACGCCGAGCCAGCCGAAGCCGATAGCATATGCGATTATTGAAAGGGTGATCAAGATATTGGGTCGCCATGTACCAAAGTCGGCGAAACTGCCAATGACTAGAAAGATGACCACTTGGATGGCGAACGAAATTCCATTGCTGAGAAGTACGATACTATTGATGGAACGCTGTCGTCCTGCGAAATAGAGGGTTCCGCTATCGCCTGCGGCTTGGCTGAGTAGGTTTTGGAATGCAGTTGGGCCGAAGTCTGCAAATAGTCATTTGTTAAATCGAGTCTGCTGTATATCCGACCCGAGCGGATGGGGGGGGGGGGGGGGACCCTACTGAATAGAGATAATCCATTGTTTCCAATATAATAACTGATTTGATGTTTCTCATTTAGCAATATTTTCGTTTCCACGATATGTTATCAACGCACGCATAGTATGCCCATATTTCCCATTTTGTGGTACAGTATCTCACATCAATCTGATCAGGTGCGATTGGCTGTTCCAGATCCTTATCCGGAGTCGATTCCTGAAAAACCTGCTCCGAGGGTTTCCCATCGTCTACGCGAGACTGTTGGGTATGAGATACCTGTGAAGGTGCACTGGAGTCTGTCATGGTGTGAATGTTGAAATTTTGCAGTGCTGAGCATCTTTGCTTCTCAAAACAGACTAGGGCAGCCTCTATATACTAAATGCAAGAGATTTTAGCCCCGCGCCTTACGATTCGATCGATTATGATACAAGATATCCGAGCATATACGACTAAGAGGTATCGAACGAATAGAAGAGAGGGCAGGGAAAGCCGTGTTCATGCATTGGTTCACCAGTGGCTTAGTTTCATGCCGATCTTTTGGCCCTAGCTTCATTCGGGAGATTAGATTGGAGACGATTGCGGCTGGCATGCCGTTCTTGTCAAGAATAAAAGAAGCATTTATTCAAAACAATAAGAATCAAATATCAAACGCAGGACTAAATCGAAAGCAAAAAAGTATATGTGCCAAGAGTAGTAGTAAAGTATACAACTGGGTAATCTTGGGTAACCGTACGGAGTAGTTATGTGGATGTTCTTTTTGTTTTTTGACTACTGCCGAACAAAGAAAGAATCTTCAAGCTAGACTTTATTTATGCTTTAACGTCTTGGCATTATATCTCCACCATCGAGAAGGTCTATCTAAGAACCCGTTCGCTCCTGAGAACAAATATTAACACATTCCACCCCCCCTCTCACAGCTTCGCCTGTCCACTTTCGATCGAAGACCAGCTTCGTTCGTCAAGCTTCTCGTATGTCTTCCCGTTCAGCCAATACAACCTATCACCTTTCCAGTCGCCTCGTGGATCCCATCCCTTCTTGGCCAAGTCACCCTTAGCTTGCTTGAAAGTGACGCCAGTAGCAACTCTATGAGGAGATAAAAAGTACGTTAGCGCATAAACTATTATAAACAACGGGTGGTTCGAGTCTTACTTCTCAGTGAGTCGGACAAGCCGTGGCAGAGCGTACGATGGAACACCCTTCTTCTTCAGCTCACGGTACAAGTTCGACATAAATTCAGACTCCACGGCTGCGGAAGAATCCTCAAGAGTGACTCCCGCAGCTCCGGCTTGTCCATCATACCTACGAGCAGGATGTTAATATATGGCTTGAAATGACCAGCAAAAACGTATCAGACATACCCCTGGAGCTTCACACCGTAGACGACGGCATCATGAACGGAAGGGATTCGGCAAATGTGGTCTCGGACTTCTCCTGCACTGACGTTCTCGCCTTTCCAGCGGAAGGTGTCTCCTACCCGGTCCTGGAACTTGACCCAACCGTCTCCGTCCTGAACCACAAGGTCACCGGTACGTTGGAAGATGTCGCCTTTCTCGAACACATCCCGAACAAGCTTCTTTTCGGTGGCATCTTCGTTGTGGAGATACTCAGTGAGTAGCCCGCGATTTCTGACTCGCCCAATCGCCTCTCCTTCCTCACCAAGCTTCGCTCTGATGCAGAAGCCTGTCTTTGGGTCCCGGTAGGGCATTTCTGTCTCAGTATCATATTTCACGATGAAGACATCGTCTTCAAAAAACCGCCTGATCGGGCCAGAAAATCCAATTTTTCCTGCACCCCATGCTCCGACACCATGATTATCGAATTTGGCCACACCCTCGGTTGATCGGTAGAACTCGCGGATCTCAGGGACCGCAAACCTTTGACGGAAGCGCTCCCAGATTTCCCCACGGAGTCCGTTACCACTCGCCACAATGCAAGAATGATCTTGGTCATAGGGCGAAGGGGGTGTTGACAGAAGGTACCTGCACAACTCGCCAATGTACAAGATACGCGTGGCTCTTGAATCATGGACATCCTTCCAGAACTGCGAAGCCGAGAACTTGCGGCGCAAACACAAGGTGCTCGCGTTCCCAACCGAGTAACACAGACCCGTGAAGAAAGCGGTGCCGTGGAAAAGAGGAAGGGGAGAATATGTGCGCAGTGGGAAATACTTCGATGGATTGTTCGCGTCCGTCGTGAGCGGATTAGATGTCACGAGCGTCATCATGTTTCGAATTGCACATGCTTTGGGTTTCCCCGTAGTTCCAGAAGTGTAGATCAAAGCGCACAAATCGCTGGGCGATCTCTTAGCAGGAATCAAGCCAAGGGGGATGAGCTGTTGCAATTGCGCGGCTGTGATAAGTTCTGTTGTTCCCGCAGAGTCGCCGTCGAAGGATGATATATTCAGCGCAATATGAGGCAAATCAGAGCAGACAAACTGTGATAAATCAGGTGTCGAGATGATAAACTTGGAGCCAGAGACATTGAGGCAGTGAATGAACGTGTCATCTATGCTCGCCTAGATTAGTTTCCATTTGACATGCATAGGTATAGTTCTGGACAATACCTCTCAGGTTCGTATTTATAAGTGCAGCGACACAGCCCAGCTTCGAAAGTGCATAAATCGTCACGACCATTTCTATAGAATTAGTGGTGAAAACACCAACGAAATCTCCTGAAATAATGTTTCGTCCATGGAGAACCGTAGCAAATCGATCCACAACTATGCGAGTGTAAGTTTTACTGCAAGAGCTATGTCCAAGGATCGCTAATAAGACAAGGGGTGTACGTACGGTCCTTTAATTGGCTATATGTCCATGTCTTGTTCTCAAACCAGAGCGCTTCTCTTGAGCCATGCCCATCGACTTCGATGACTCTTTCAAGCATCTTGTAAATCGTGGTTGTGTCGCCCAGCTCCGCAATTCGCTGGCCGAGACGCTTCGTAAAAGCCCGATCATTGTATATCGTCGATATGTCGGTAGAAATGGAAAGTTTGGCATTGAGATAGGCCGCCGCACCCACTGAGAGGGCTGAAGCCATTGCCATTGTTGGCGCGCTAATCTCTGAGAAGAGATCCATTAGGCGGCGGGACTCTGATAAATGTAAATTGTAGGTGTATGTTTGAGATCTTCTGTGGAACCTGTACTGATTGCGTTGGCTAATTCAAAGCAGCGACAAGAGTACTAAACAAAGAAAATGAACTTCGCATTGATCACCGCTTCATGGAAATTGTCAAGCCAGTTATGGCGACTGGGGCTGAAGAGCATGAATATAGCGAATAATAGTTGTGTAGCTTGGACCGATCGGAATTTAGAGACGGGACCTGAAAATTGCCGGCCATGGTGCAGATCGAATGTCTGGAGTCTGGGGGCCTCACAAACGGCAATCAAGGAAATGCTGCCATCCGATAGATCGAGGCTTCAAAACGTCGGTACCGCCACTGGGGAGTAGCGCGGTTCTGTCGCACGGCCTCCACAGATAGTATTCACGGTTGTTCTCCTTCAAGTGCTATCCTCTTTGACATTCAGCCTGTGGAGACTCGAAAGTGACAGCCATACTGTCGATATCAACCTTGGAATGGGGCGGGACAAGACGAAAGCAGGAGCGAAAAACAAACGTGCCTCAGACCTCAATACCATAACACTGTACATACATTATTTGTAGTATGGAATACATAGTGTTAGCATCACAAGCAGCACTCCATACTTCCCAATCTAGCAAGAGATTGAACGACTAAGGTACAGAATACAATATCTATGTTGTAACCCCAATTGATTTCCCCATACTCCGTACTGTGTACTAGAGTTGCTTAGTAGCTTCCCCACAAAAGTAGTCGAAGCCCAATCATGACCTTGCACTGATGGATCCGACCGACAGCCGAGGCCACCCAACCGTACCGTATCTTACGCCTGCGTTACAGCTTGACGGCAAGTCCACTCGGCAGGTCTGGACAATTTCCAGCACCGAGCAACGGCTTCTATGAGACTAATCTTTGAACCAAACTGATCCATTGGCTGTGTCCCAACTTTCGGCTCGGTATTTTGATCCATTCGCCGACGATGTTTTTGTTCCCCCAGACTTAGGAACCGCGGCTGATTATGCTTCTGATTTTTGCCCCAGGTCATTATATTATTGCGACGTGTGCATCATTGCGGGGGAGCTAGTAACTTCTGTCTCCTCCAAAAAGAAGTAATCTTGGAAAAGACACCTGTAGAAGTACTACCGTGATCAACAAGCTTCCAACATGTCTTCCCCTCAACAACGACTATCTTCTATCGCAAACCAGCTTACGAGCCCTGGTGCTGCGTCCGCAAAGTCAAAGCTCTTGGCGAAGAACCCTGACGATGTGGTATGTCTCTTATGCTTCAACATAATACACCTTGCTTGGGGTAGGATCAAAGACTTACTAGGTGTGGAATAGGTGATTACTCTCGCCCTGCGGACTCCTCTCACAAAAGCTAGGAAGGGTGGCTTGAAGGATACCACTATAGATGATCTTCTCATCTCACTGCTGACGGTAGAGTGCTTGTCTGTTCATGTCGAGCTCTTCCATGTCTAACATAACAAATAGGATGTGCGCGAGCGGTCGAAGCTCGATCCTAACCTTGTCGAGGATGTCTGTGTCGGAAATGTCCTTGCCCCTGGCCAAGCTTACATCGCCCGTTCCGCTGTGCTGGCAGCTGGTTTCCCCGTCACCGCCGCAGCATCGGTTGCCAACCGATTCTGTTCTTCTGGATTGCTGGCGATCCAGAACATTGCCAACCAAATCATTGCCGGTTCAATCGATGTTGGTATCGCAGTTGGAGCAGAGAGCATGAGCACCAACCCCGACAACGGTGCTCCAGAGCTATCCGACAAAATCACATCACACCCAGTCGCCTCCCAGAACAAGCAGCCCATGGGTCAGACGTCCGAAAATGTCGCATCTCAATTTGGAATCACTCGCGAAATGCACGACCAGTTCGCTGCCAAGAGCTACCAGAAAGCAGAGCATGCCCAGAAGGCTGGTTGGTTCAATGACGAGATTGTTCCCGTTCACACCAAGGTTAAGGATCCTAAGACTGGAGAAGTGAAGAACATCGTGGTCGATCGTGACGATGGTATTCGTTATGGCACGACTGCCGAATCACTCGGCAAGATCCGTTCAGCTTTCCCCCAGTGGAAGCCCAGTGCTACAACGGGTGGCAATGCTAGTCAAATTACCGACGGTGCCGCAGCACTCGTCCTCATGAAACGATCCCGTGCACAAGAACTGGGCCAGCCAATTCTGGCCAAGTTCGGCGGAGCCACTGTTGCTGGCTTAGAGCCCCGAATCATGGGAATTGGTCCGTCTATCGCCATTCCTAAGATCCTCTCCAAGTTCGGCTTGACTAAGGATGACATTGATATCTTTGAGATCAACGAAGCATTTGCATCCATGGTGAGTAGAGCCAATATCTCTGTCCTCATCGTTCCCTCCCCCCTCCAAGCCGATAAGCAAGACAAGTCATTAACGTATACCTAGGGTACTTACTGTGTTCAAAAACTCGGTCTTGACGAATCCAAGGTGAACCCTCGGGGTGGTGCAATGTAAGCTAAAAGATTAGTGCAAACTCTTTGAACGTTATCGCTAACCGATATAGTGCTTTCGGCCACCCATTGGGATGCACAGGAGCACGACAGGTTGTTACCGCTCTCTCCGAATTACGGCGACAGGGCAAGAAAGTAGCAGTCACCTCCATGTGTGTTGGAACTGTGAGTTATTCCTCTCCTTGTTTCGAACATTCGAAGTTAGCCTTCTACTAATCACCTTTCTTCTAGGGTATGGGCATGGCTGGTATTTTCGTCTCCGAGGCCTGAAGTTAGATATTATTGTTTAGACTGTGAAGGTTGTACAGTCATGATATGTAAATATGTTATACCTAGACAATTCCGAGCATAAGATGGAGTTCATGCTGTTATCTCGCGCTACAGAATAGGCATGTCGATGTGTCTTGTTACTGTAGCCCGGTTTATGTTTCTGGGTAGGGCCAGCCTTTGAACCGGCGTATGAAAGGATGGCTCTGTTCGCGGTGCTATAGTTACTACGTAGCAGCTAGTGTATGTAATATGCGACTAGAATATAAATAGCCTTTTACCGGAGGCATCATAATTTCAACTCGGTTGTGGGAAGACTTGCAGAGACGTGGCAGATAGGAAATCTTAAATCGGCTTCGTGCACGGCAATTAAGAATGCTTGATTCAAATAAACCATGCGTATGGACATTAAAGCTCTACCTGGGCTGATGATACAGATGCAGCTAAGCGATGCCAAAACGACATATATAAATAGACCCGAACTTGAAAAAGAAGGCGGTAGTATCGAGCGGATGCTCCGAAACGCCGTACAAGACATAGCGAATGAAGTCGAAAGAATCATGAATCATGCGATTGGAAAGAAAGGAAACAACTGCTGGTTTGGGTACATGGCGAGGTTCGTAATTAAGTATACGGCATGCTCAAACTAGGTTGAGCGCATCGATATCTAGGTGCAGGCTATACATTTGCCGACCTCTCAGAAGTGACCCTTGAATTCAATATTAAGGGCCTTCAGGCAGGTGATACGCTCATCATCCTTAGTGTAAACATCTGCCTGGACAGTGTATTTGCCCTATCCAACAAGCCATCTATTAGCAATCCATCCTCGCCAGGGTCGAGTATACTTGCTGGCAAACCAGACCCCATCTAAGCATGGGACGATAAGACTTACCGGAGGAATCTGCTTTGGCAAGTCAACCTGCTTGGTCAAGGTCATGTCACCCGGCCCCAGAGGACATTTAAGGTCTACGTTGACGAGCTGTTCGCAGAGGTTGGCAGTCTGCCTGAGAAGAGTAATCAAGCCATATTTGACCTCCAAAAGCACATAAGCACCATCCTCGATCTTTTCATGCAAGGTGCCAGAGGCCGTGATGACAAGTGTTTTGCCACTGTATTCAATTAGCCCTGATGTTCAATATCATACTAAAGAACGCCTGTGTATGCTTTTCGGTAATTGCTGTTCGTTGACGTACGGAAGAGGTGGGTTAGGTGACAAGTCCACCTGTTTAATATCTAGGATATCGTCCACCGGGTCGTCACAATACTGCAGAGGGTTATCCCCTGCGACGGGTTTGCCTTGTTCATGGATGATAGGGGATTGAGATGACTTGAAGAAGTCGAGGCTTCGAGCTGTGGTGGAAACGGGGGCGAGGCAGACGAGAAGCGCAGCGGCAGTTGATAAGAACTTCATGATTGCAAGGATTTGTCAAACAGCTCGGGATCGGACCACGATGAGATGGGAAATTGAATCAAATGATATAAGTGTTACTCAGACCTGTGATGACGGTGGTGGAAGTTGCAAGTATATAGCAAGTACTAGTAAGTTGTACCTCTTCGGAAGGTAAGTTCAGTAGAGATGTAGTGGAAGGGGAGAAGCGGTGTCATGGGACCTCATGACGAATGGCTGGGCACACGTGATACCAGCAGAGGCACAGCAGTCTGATTGGTGGGAATGCCATGCATGGCGCTTGATATTCACGTTTAAATGCATCGTGCTAAACTTTCGAACCAGACATGAGACATCTTGATCTCTGATATGTATCTTGTTGCTCACCATGACGAGAATCGAAGCCTCATGGGTCTGAAGCATGATATCCGTCCGCAACTAAGCTTATGGAGCCCAAACGCCTATCGTGGAGATTGACCCACCTTCACAAGCTTCTCTAGAAATGGGATTGGATGAGATGATTATTCTGCCTATGACCTTAGAATATCTCAGCAATAGCGGAAGGCTGGACCATGAGAGCCATGCTCGTATCGTCCCTACAACTTCATCTCGTCAACATTAGCCAAAAGAAGGCTAGACTTCCTCTGGCGGTGTAGCGATCTCCCCCGCCGCTTTTTCAAAGTACTGGCCCCCATTTGCGCCACGGTTACGTTGATCCTTAGAGGACCAAATAGGCGAAAATTCTGGTTGCGAAACTTACATGTAACAGGTCTCCTTTACGCGTATTCCATACTCAGTCCATTCTAGATCTATACGTTTCTATCCAGGGCACGTCGCATACATCTGTAGGCCGTCGGCAGAGGTTTATCGGAAGATTGGGATGGGCCCAATTCGCTGTCAATTGAGTACCTACGATTTCATTTCCGCTGGATGGATGTTGAAGTGACTAGTCTTCCGTTGAGGGCAAGATGTCGAGCACGCCTGGCGTATTGTCAATTACTGTTTCTACCAGCTCACTGTTTACCGGACACAAAAATCCCACACATTCTATTTACGAGATGTCAAAGACGATTTCTTCCGCAGAATAGTCGTCCTGGCATTCAAAATCGGATGAATGCCATTCTCTGACTTATCAATGGTAGGCATATACGAGTCTATATGAACAACTCTTAAATAAATTGGGTATCATCCCCTTGCACAGTTCCATTATCCCACAACCACATATGACACTTATAACACGATGAGGGCAAACAAAGGTAGAACAAGGTACTCCCTGGATCTATTCCCCAAACAGACGCCGCACCCGTTTAAGCACGCTATCCTTCTCAGGGTCGTATGGGTGATCCTTGCTTGGGATTTCTAGAACGGCAGGAAATGGATCGGCGAAGGAATCAACACTGTGGCGGATGCGCTCTGCAACCTATTCTTCCGTAAGCACGGCGACCAACTATGAAGAGCTTGAACTTTTTTACTGTTGGGGGAAGCACTTCGCTTGCATAACGTACGTGTTGATTGATGAGAACGATAGCAATATCTTTTCTTTCTTGGGTGAAGTTTTGGAACGCTTTCTCAATCGTAGAGGTTTCGGTCTTGGAGTCTACCACGAGGAAATTCCGTTGGGAGTCGGGGGGATCTGTGACATGCTTTGAGAAGCCGGTTAGCTCACCATCGGACTTGTCGGCTGCTATAGCGCTCTTGAAAATACTTACGCCAACACCTGCGAGAAGAAGTCCAGTCACCGAGCTGATATAGGAAATTAGCAAAACTTTGGTTCAGGATAACCCCACAGGCTGTAGATTACTCTTCATCTCCGATGACAGCAAGGAACTGCCGGTCCTGTATAGTGTCAGTCGTCGAATCCGTGCAGATAAGAAGGGAAGTGGAAATGTACCTTGGCTTGGGCCGCCATTATGATAGATATGAGCGGTCGGCGAAGGGAACAGCTCAAAAGCAAGTGGGATCTAAGACAAGGGTGACACTGTCCCCGTGGAGTCTCGACTTCCCGCAGCTTGATCGGGCAGTCGTCATAAAGTGGCCCCGACACAGCTTACCTAAGCACCATTGTATGCACTTTTTCTCGTCGTTGTTGTATGTTTACACGAGTGGGACGGAAGACTTGCTCTCGGCCTCTTATCTTTGTCTTACCATAGGTAAATCTGGTTGCTGATTCCTCTATACCTTTTGGCGCCACTCAAAAGGCTAAAACCTTTCTTGATCTGCAGTTTCTCGCGCTACTATCGTAGCTTCTCTGGCGTCACGATGCCCCGGCTCATACGCCGCCAACCATTGGCAGAGCGTATCAAATCTTATCTAAACCCCTTGGACTTTCTCCTATGGCTGTCGGAAGAGATAGATGCAAATGATTGGGATCAGTTTGAGAAGGACTGGGCGCTGCCTCTGGGTGTGGTCTTGAATGTGGTATTTTTAATCGCAAGAGCCAACACTCAACCCAGTGGCGGGAGAGCCATAGACGATGTTTTCGGCGAAGATGGAGGTACACCTTGGCTCAGCTGGTTTGTAAGTTGTTTTTCGATAGCCATAGATCATCACCACCTATATCTTTGAGGTCCAGGCTCGGTATATAACTTATTTTGGCGCTAATGAACACCATCATCACAGGCTTCGTTCGTCGTCCATCTACTCGTTGGTTTTACCGGGCTCAATGGTTTCTATACATTTTACCGCAAACGACACTATCGCATGTTTGAAGCATCAATTGATCGCGCACCTGCGACACCATCGGCTCACCGTGTACGTGTTGACTCAACTCCAGCCTCACCGCTGCGATACTTTGCAAATGCGATTTCTGGGTCGACACGATCAAGAGCGCACCCCGATGCGCAGCGCGACGTGTGGGAGCTTGCAGTCTGGGACCCTCTACCGATTTGCCTGCGGTTGTTCTGCCTTTTTAGCCCTGGACACGTTTTAGTTTATTGGCTATTCCTGCCTACACAACTATCAGATCCGCGCCCAAGTGTCACCATTGTGACTACAATCGTTTTGACAACGCTGTTGTCAGTACAGATGACATTCCTATCATCCTCCTTTAAGCAACAGGCAAAGGATTCTACCCTGGTACATAAAGAAGTGTTGAAAGAGTACGACACAAAATATGTGCATCCTCGAACTCAGCCTTTAATGAGAGATGTCGGCACCCAGTTTTCCGACGCAGATGTCACCCAATCCGGCTCCAAATCCAAGTCTAACAAAGTGGACACTTATACTCCTACATTCATTGTCCAGCGGGGTTTTAAAACCAGCCCGAACCCCAACTACCTTAAACACGTTGACCCGGATGGTATCTCTTCTGGACGTCAATCACTAGCTGGAACCCCCTCTGGCCCGTCTCAATACCAAGGCCCACTGCAAACACCAAGTCATTTGCGGGACACATCTCCTATTGTTCGAGGTCCGATCTCGTCAATTCGGCAGCCGCAGTTCCGTCAAACCCCTGCCGCCACGGGAGATGGTGGCAGTTTGGGTATTTACTCGCATGCTAATTCCCCGTTGAGGAAATCAAGTTCCACGAACTTTGACCGTCGTCTTCAGAGTACTGGAGATTTCTTTTATAGGGAGCGAGGTGCAAGTCCAATGAAGAAGCCGTCTAGTCCGCTGAAGAGGAGCAATGTTCCTGGTGACGCGAGCCCCATTGCATCAGGTTCAAGACGAAGTCATCTCGACTTACGTCGCCAGACAGGAAGGTTCTAAACAATGCAGATTTATGAGTTGTTCCTAGTGGAAAGGGGGATAACTTCATGATAGGCTGATGCATCACGCATTCCTCGGAATTATTATACCGTTCACCGCATATAGTCTTGTGGACAACATTTAACTAAGCATATGGGTGGGGAGTTTGGGAGTCCTTGATCTTTTCTTCAGCTGTAAGATATATTCCTTTTGCGTTCAAGGGGCACAGTGTCGAACCATATCAACTCGGGAATGTAGGCTGATAACACACGCGGCCAGCCACTGTATTATATGTTGCATGTCGCATTGTTGCGACGTTTGGAAATTAAACTTAAGTCAACCCGCAAATGAGGAAGCCAAAATATGTCCAGTCTTCCCGTTATTTCCTAAAATTCCTACTTGGTTACTTAGGATCCCGCCTGGGGCATGCCAGATAGGCAGGGGCGTCGCTGCTTCCACAGATGTGACCTAAATCGAAAGGAACCGACCAAGCGCGTGTGCAACTGCCATACCAAATATCGTCAGAGTGGGGGCACACATTCCATGCTGAGCGATTCCTGTCTCTTGTTGCATTCCTTGAAGTGGTGAGTTGGATTCCTTAGCATTCCAATCGTATCATTACGCACGTCATCCCTTTACAACTCGAAATCAGCCTGCAGAGCAAATGTTCTCTCGAACTCTCTTTGCAAATGCTCTGTCGTGTTTCAATGAGCCATCAGCTTCATTGTCGCACGACAAACGCCTCAGAAGGCGTAGTAATCACACTACACCCTCACAGACACAAGGAAACCCGCGGTCTTCTAAGAAGGAATGGGTAAGTCGAAGGGCTGAACCTGACCTAAGAGTCGAGACTGTTAGCCAACCTCATCGATCCAAAATGGAGGGACATATTCCTTTACCGAAAGGGCATTTACTCAACCTCCAGCCTCGAGCTCGGAACGGCAGACGTACCAAATTCAGTGACCAAGAAGCGGAAAACGAGCAAAATGGAGCACATCCTCCGGGGTCCGACCAAAAGTCGGCCGGTCCGAAAATTGGATCCCCCGGAACACCACAGACTCTATTGCGAAGGGGCAAGGCTACCAAGCTTCCCATGCCTAGAGCGTTTGCAGATAAAGGTACGGAGCAAAAAAGGGAAACATCCGTCACGCCTCAGACAAAGCAGCAGAATGTCAAAAGGCATGGTCAGATGAAACGGTCCCCTGGTGCGTCGGATCGCGAATCACCAAACTCGACAGACAAAGACCGTGAGCAATATTGGCGGAAAGTTCGAGGGAAGTTCGACCGGGAACCGCCTACAGCATCACGGAGCAAAGATAAACAGAAGGATTATTATCAAGAGGCCTATAGAAAGATTATTTCATTGGCTAGCTCACCCAAACATGAAATCGCCAAACACAAGCAAAAAACTGCAAGTCCAACTACCCGTGGTCAACGAGGTTCTGAACAAGGGGCGAAGTCCAAGACCAAAATAGCGGGTCCTACCATCGGCAATCAAGATGGCCCTGTGTCCCACTCCAAGGAGCATTCTGAAAATCATAACGGATTCCAGTCGAGTAAGGACAAACCGACAAGCCACGAGACCCATGACACGATTCCTCAAAGGTCCCCTGATAAGACAGGTAACACTACCGATTCATCAATTCATTCACACCCGTCCATATCACCAGTGTCAGGCCCTAGTAGCTCAATGACCGAGTGGGAAGATAGATTTGTTGTCAATATGCCTTCAGCCAAAGACCCAAACCCGCCAACAATGAGCGTGGAGCAGATTGTGGAGTTTCAAAAGAGCATTGAGAATGTGCACAAAGAGGGAGAGACGATGCTTGATCCCGATACTCTTCCAAGTCCACGTACCACGACACCCGAAGATAATCCGTATCTGCCAGACCCTGAACGAAAACAGCTTAGCACCCTCGACGGCCAGGACTCACGTTCAAGTCGTTCTGCAGAGGCAGGTGAACAACCGGCAACGTATCAGTCTGGTCATAATCGATATTACTCACCTGATGAGATTGGGAAACAGCGCTTTAGCACTATTTGGGAAGAGTCACCATCGAGAATAAAGCCGAAGGTGTCTGATGCTAATCCGGACGGCTCTTTTTTAGGGTGCAGGGAAATCAAGGGACCGTACGACAAAAATCCCGACGAGATTTTGTTTTTCTCGTCAACCACCGAGCGCCCCAGAGTAGTGGATGTGTCGACACCAATGGCCAAACCAAAAGATTGGAAGAAAATAATGACGCAAACCCACTCAACGACAGCAGCATCGGAGGAAATGACTGCCGCTCAAGAAGAACGGAAGCCAACTTTTCAGAGTTCGAAGCATGCCCAATGCTCCAAGCAGTCACCGAAGACGATGTGTCACGAGACTATATGTCAACGACAGGACAAGGCAGAGACGCCTGCGCATGTCTCGGGGAAAGAGAACACAAACCATGCTGCCCGTGCAACAAGAACACAGGACCAGAGAAAGAGCCATGGGGACGATGTGTTCATTATCACACCCACTATCACACGCACTATGGTGAACACAGTGGAAACGAGAGGTGCTACGCCGAAACGTTCAGGCATACCGCCTCGAATAGCAGGCGAAACCATCAAAGATGTAAGGTCGAAGCCTCAAATGCACCCTTCACCGTCGGGATTACGACGAGCGACCCAAAATTCGTGGGAGAGATCCAACGCAACTTGGCCAACGCCTTCATTTTCAAGAGACACTCCCGTAAAAAACGTGCCGGGGACACCACAAGCTCGAGCAGAACTGGGGCATATGAGCGCGGAAAGGCGTCGGGCCATACGTGGGTACATCCGTATGCCCGTCATGGTAAAGTCACGCACAGAAAATCTCGGTCAACGCATACATAATACCACCCCACCAAAAGCGCCTGCTGCTCCACCGAAGAATGATTATCAAATCCCTGCAAGGAGTATATCGGATTCGTCTCAGTCCATACCCTCCTCGGGCCATGATATCTCCCCCGCCAGTTCGCTCACGAGGGATCAACGATATCCAAAAGCGCCAATGCAGACTGCTAGAATTGTTGAGGTAGCCGAATTAGATGGCCTACAGGTCGACGATCCAAAGGATGAGCGTAAGACAGATCACAAGGAAAACGACAAATCGGGTGGCAAGTACACACACGAAGAACATCTTCGCTCGAAGGTCACTGATTTGCGTGCCGATTTACAGACAAGTGGGGTACAGGCAGACTACCGGGGCTTGTTAAATTCAATTACTATGAGTCTGATCATGGACGTCTTCTTCCTGTCGGCTGCGCAAGCTCAAGGCCTCTTTACACAGATAATAGACAATCGGCATTCAAGGACCGTCCTGTTCAAAATTGCTTTGAACTGTATTCTGAACATGGTTGAACACTGCCTGCATGTTTTCAGGAACCTCCTGCAGGCTTGCTCCATTTACACCACAACAGGAGTTTGGCCTAGACCAAGTGAGAGAGATCTTGCTCGTTTTCTAACTGATCTTTGTCAAGTGGTGATTTATATTGGTGTTCTTGGTTCTATCATGATGCTCCTAGGGCGTGCAGTTGAGTATGTCATTCTCATCGGAAGTTGGATTGTATGGTTTGTAAGACCTCTCGGGTGGTTTTTGGGGGCGCTAGGAAGAGTTCTACAGGGTATGACAAGCTGATACCTTCAGTACTTTTACATTGTTCTTGTACTTTTGTATACTTGAGTGGCGGGTCCTCATTTCATGTATTATTTATTATTCTTATGCTTGAACGTCTTTTCCAGCGACGTCAGTTATCGTTATGAACGGTTGTGTAATACAAGGCATCCTTTTCGGGTATAAAGGCGTGCTATATAGATAGACCAGCCCTCGCATCATCTAATAGTAGGAAGAATGGAAAGGCCGGAAGGCAAGTAACTATCATCATCACATTGATTTTGTTTTGATTTTTTGTCTATATGTCTATTCAAGAGTTGAATAAATAAATTTCGTGAAATATATCAAATGCTTCATGAAGAAACTCCGTATCCCGTGTTGAAAAGGATTACTTTTTTCGTTTCTCATGAACCCAACTCCGTTGTCATCCATAGTGTTGAATTATCGTAAGGTATCGCATCACCCTGTTTTATGTAGCCCTGCTCTGTTTTAAAAGAAGAAGAAAAGGAAGAAAAGAAAAGAAAAGAAAAGAAAAAGCGAGATAGAAAGTGGAGATAAAGATGTGGAGATAAAAAGCGAAAGAGGAGGCGGGGTCATGGTTGACGACCCCTGAGCTTGGGGCTCTAAAGGAGACTTGATTATGATGTTGAATTTGTGATTCTTCTCGCGCGCGATGAGAAATAAAAATAATCGGGTGGGGTATAAGGTTGAATGTTAAAAATCATGTTGAAATTAAATAACGCTCAAAGAAGAAATCGTTGAGAGGTCTTCAATTCGTGTCGCCATAAGCCATTTCGCGCCGTGGGGTGGTTCGACCCCAGGCAGGTATCGTTGAGATATAGATGTTGAATTAAGAAGTCTTAGTAAATCGTTGAAGAGATGCTAGAGAAGTTATAGAGCAGGCATAGCCCGCTGGGGTTGTTCGTGATGTACGTAAATTAGTTTGCGGTAGCCCCGGCCGCTTCGTTCTCCTGAGATTTCGAGTCGGCGTTGTCCGCGGTGACTTCGACGTCGAAATCTCTTACGTTCAAATCCTTGAACAGGTCAAAGAGATCATATGTGTTGTGGAAGTCGTTGTTAACTAGATAGAAGAGATTAGCAAGTGAAATGAAGATGGAATAGCTTTAAGCTTAACTCACCGATGTTAACAAGGTACCAGTTGTCCACAAGTCCTTGAATCAACTTCCTGCTGGGGCTCGTAGCAGCATGACACTTGGCCCAGTCTTCACCTAGACGGTATGCCTCGTCCTTCCAGGCTAGGAAACTGATTGTTTCAACAATGGTAGGCTGGACAACCTCTCTACCCGCGAAGATACCCCAAGTCAAGGCGTTGGGGCTATCGTGGGTGTTGGTCCGCAATTCACCATTCTTTGAAACCGCATGGTATGTAAGATCTTCGTTACTCTCGATGCGTGCAATCAGTTCGTCAAGCAAGTACGGGGGGATCAAGAGTTCGAGGTATGCCTTCTGGTAGACGAAACCATTCTTCGGACCCCATCCATACACAGGGTGGGACGACCTAGCTCCATTGACAGCCGGCTGTGAGTTGATGGTGAGGATACCCCGGTTATTGAGTTCGACTAGGTTAGGCTTGATAGCTTTCGCTTCGGAGCTGATAGGAGTGTCGCTCCAGGGCAACCGACTCAGCTTACCCTCCAGGTATCTAACGAAGAGATGCGAAAGGTCCCGAATGGACTTCGGCTCACCCCACAGTTGAATGTTCTGTTCGTTTGTGCCCTTGAGTCCTATGCCGTAAGAATCAAGCTCACCAAAAGCGGGAGATCGGGAGTCGGTCCAACGGCCGTTCGGAAATTCGTCCCATGTCTGCGTGCGAGCAATGTAAGAAGAGTTCCTGTTCCGCCAGAAGATTGGGCGAACATCCTCTGCCCTACGGTTAAGACCAAGCGACGGCCGCCAGGGCAAGGGTCGCTGGATCGGTGTCTCTTCGGAAGGCATAAGTTTCAGCTGATCAAGGACCAGCTGTGTGGCCTGGGCAAGATTCATCGTATAACTGGCAAAAGTTCATGAGTTTTCTGGTTTTGATATGACAGAGAAATCCAACTTACAAGTGCAAATGGTTAATTCCAGCTGCCAGAAGCCTCCTGCACATGTCTGCGATCAGGACCTTTCCAATCTCCTTGACAGCCGCATCATCATTCTTCACGGGCTCCAGAGTCTCGAGCCAATCTTCGGGAATATGAATCTTTGTCCAGTTTGCTCGTCGGATGAACGCGGAATAGGTTTGGATTGGCATGATACCAGGGATGATAGGCACGTTGATTCCTTTAGCGCGGCACTTCTTTACCCAACTGATGAAAAGATCCGTATCGTAGAACATCTGTGTGATAACAAATGTGGCTCCTGCATCGACCTTCTCCTTCAGGTGATCGATCAAGAGGTCCACATCTGGGTTATCGTCGGCGCCTTCAGGGTAACCTCCGACCCCAATATCAAAATGGTTTCCGTATTTGTCCCGAATGTATTTGACCAGGTCTTTCGCATAACGAAGTCCGCCGTCAGCAGCTTCCCACTTCTCTTTCTCACGAGGCGGATCACCGCGAAGGGCCAAGATATTAGTGCAGCCAGACTTGTAGGCGGCCTGTAGGGCAGCATCAACCTTCTCCGTCGGCATATCTGTACATGTCAAATGCATGCAGGTCTCCAGTCCGTACACCGATTGGGCCACATTAACCATCTCACAAGTCAAGTCTGACAACCGCCCTCCGGCACCCCATGTGATATCAATGAAGGATGGGCCTAATGCGTGCATTCGGTCCATTCTGTCGTAAAGGTTCTGCACACCTTGCGCTGTTTTGGGGGGGAAGAACTCAAATGAGATGCCGACTCTTCCAGCGGCCTCATTTTGGGCAAGCTTTTCCTTGATATGCATTGTGTGTAGTTAGACTATATAATAGCACCGGAATTAGTGAATCCGTTTGGAATGGTAATTGTAGTACAACGACAATTTGGCTGGAGGGTCCAAATAGTTAAACTTACAGGGAAAATGGCTTTTTCTCAACAAGAATTGGGGCAAATTGTCCAGGTTAAACAGCTCTCCTAACCACTGATAAACCGTTCCTGGTCTTCTTCTCGGTCACCGGGCCTGCCAGCGAACACGGTGTTAATATACTGAATGGGAATATGCCAACAAACAAACGAAGAAGAATTGAAAGAACGAAAAACTGCTGCAGGGCCAGGTCTCAGAAGGAAGAAAAGCCCAGGGGAGGGGGGAAAAAACCGGCCTTACGTTAAAGCAAGGGGAAGGTGAGATAACCTATCGTAAAGAAGGCCGGACTTCGGAGGTCGTCCTGTGGCACGTGTCCCACTCCCAATCGGTCAGTTACAGACCCTCAGCAGAGCCGGAGGGTTATTTAGTGCCCAGAATATGAGATGCAAGACTATATAGGGACACCAGTTCACCCCAAGATGTTTAAACCAGGCAGATTGGGCGGTAAAGCAAAGGAGGAGGAACTGGGGGGAAGAAAGAGAGAGGGAGAGCTAAGACGATACGACGGTCCGATCCACGGGCCTCCTCCCAGACCCCTCTTTCCTGCCATTGGCCTAAGGCCTCAGCCCGCCTTGCCCCTCCTTGGGAAATTGCCTAAAAGAAAATCATAAAAAAAAAAAAAAGACCCATCGATCGTTGCTGATAACCGTCTTTTTTCCCAAAACAAGTCTCACCAACGAATCTCACTACTCCAGACTATTTCTCTTGTTTAACCAATTGAGGCTCCCAAATTATTAGCCTTGTTCCACTGAACCCTGAAACCTTCTATCAACACAGAAGTCGTCGCAAGGAAGAAATACAATAATGTCCGCCGCTACCATTCCTGCTCCTGCCGCTGAGCAAGACTACAAGGAGACTTTGCTTCCCTTGTTGATGAAGAATAATGTCCTGTCTTTTGGCTCCTTTATCCTTAAGTCCGGCCGTGAATCTCCGTACTTCTTCACATCTTCTCTCCTCCACACTGCGCCTTTGCTCCGTGCCACCTCGGCTGCCTATGCCAGTGTCCTGTCTGCCCCGCCATTCGTAACTGTTGCGGCCGACGGTACTACCACACCCAACTTCGACATTATCTTTGGTCCAGCTTATAAGGGTATTCCGGTGTGCGCTTCCGTTCTGAATGAATTAGCAGTCCGAGACTCTCTCTCCGCGTCTGCTAAGGGAACCTGGGACAATGTCAGCTATTCCTTCAACCGTAAGGAGGCCAAGGACCACGGCGAAGGAGGAAACATTGTCGGTGCTCCTCTGAAAGGAAAGCGTGTGGTCATTGTGGACGATGTTATTACCGCCGGAACCGCCATCCGTGAGGCCGTGAGCATCATTCAGAAGGAAGGCGGTATTGTTACCGGCATTGTTGTCCTACTCGATCGCGAGGAAAGAGTCAGCGACGCTGAGCCCAAGAGCGCTATCGGCGTTGCACAGAGAGACCTTGGTGGAAACATCCCCATTCGTGCAGTGATTGGTCTTCACGACTTGATCGAGAAGCTGGGCGATAAGATCGGGGAGTCCGAGATCCAGCGGTTGAAGGACTACAGGGCTCGCTATGGAGCCGAATAGATCCGGTGCTTTAGCATTATAGGCAAAAAATAGACGACGAAATGATTATATTTTACTGTAAATATGCTTCCTTGGCGCTCATTCCTTCCCCGTTGTCGGGTGTATTGAAAATCGGGTGAAGAGACATTTATTGCGTTCTTTTTTTGGATTATCTCTATTATTTATAGATCCAATAGTGTCAATTTTAATTTGACATGGCTTATGTGGCATGTCTATGCATGTATGATGGCATTCGCAAGTTGAAATAACTCAATATGGAACAAGCTGGTATGTACATCGTTGTTGTATATATCTTGGCGAACATTACTATCTGAGCAACTATTCGGCTTTACTCTATAGGGCAAGTATAAATCTATAATAGTCGAGTCTATTATCTGTACGTCTACGAAGACAAGATCTATTACTAGGAGAAATTTAAAAGAGATATATAGAATTTATAGACAACGTACTTGAATAGCACATGTTCAGGTTTCAGTTCAATGTCTGCACACGCATGTACTGTTGCTGTAGAACAACAGCCCTATATCAGAATAGATAGATATATAAATGTATGACCCTTCAATAATTTTTCGTATGAGATTTCTGCGGAATATACTATAGAATATTGATTGGAATGCATCTGTTAGGATGTCCCAATCACCTACCGTTGCTTCTACTTACCCGTTATCGTTGCTACTAAACCCATCCAAGCAGGATTCAATAGGGACATCTATACTTCAATAAGCACATATTCTCCCATTAATTAGCCACTCTACACCTTAATATCTCCTTTGGCAAGCCTAATATCAAGATGCACGGTCATAGCTATCTGAACGATCTCGAATAGCTATTTTCGCGGTTTTCTCTATTCAGAGCTGACCCTCTCCTGCAGGCTATTATGGCATTCACCACTTTCAAGGAGCCACGACCACTCGGACACCGACAATGTCCGAAGGTTTTCGTATAAGATAGTCATCTAAAGGGAGGTTCTGTGTAATTTATGCGGAAAGTAAACATACGCAACAAAGGCTTCACCGAGACTTACTGTCCAGCCTGCAAATAAAACTTCGACTTAACAACGAGCCCTGTACAAGGAGGAGGTAAGGCGCCCTTGTTAGGTTAACTTGCATCTCCTACACCGAGTGTAGAGCCCACCACCACAGGGTCTAAGCTTGCAAGGAACCCGTCTCGCAGAAACAAGTTTTGACACTTAAGCTTCAACGTAAATTGACGGGCCTTTGTTTTGAGAATGCTGCGCACGAGTTGATTACATGCAGACACGGATAGAGCTCCGTGTAGCGGATATTTGTAGCATATAAACAGCTCAACCATCCCTGATCCATACAAGCAAGGAAGTATAGCGACAATTGGTGTCACGACAGTCACAGCATGTTTGGTATCATCCTGAATGTCTGCTCAGAAAGGCATGTCTGTGGTGAGCTGAAGGTCAACGAGGGATTGCACTCCCGCCCTGCATGGAAAATTGAGAAAGGCAGACCAGCAAGGCAAGTGGTAGAGAGTCGGTGAACGATAAGAGAGAGAAGCTGTCACTAGCTTCTGGGTTCATGGATACAGGAAGTGGATCCGATGGCGAACGTTCGGGCTCGGTCAGCGCGCTAATATCTGCTATCACAAAAGTTTCACGGGTAAGCTGCAGCGTCAAGGAGCTAAGCGCCTCTCATAAGGGGTTGCAAGAATTGACATGTATTGCTCACGGCCTCGCTGGGTAGAACGAGTCAATTTCGCCAAGGCATGCAATATCGATGTAAATGATATGTAGCCTGACTCCACCGTCGCTTACCATGTGCCTATAGGATTTACTGGCACCTGCACGATGGATAAGCTAGTCATTTTTGGAAGATTAAAAAGTGGGACCGAAGGGAGGGGACAAGGCGTGCATTTCAAACGTAATATTTGCAATGGTTTGGAGAGAGGTTCGGTTTACAACGCACCGGTAACGCACAGGAGGCTCGGTGAATCTTACCTCCCTGTTTAGTGGCATGCGTATGTGTCAGCTCAAGGCAGAAGTTTTGCCTGTTTGAGGCCAGAGGTCAACTGAGGTGGTCACACCGCATTGGTCAGAATCGTTCCTTATTTATCATACTTCTGATATCATACTGAAACTCGCTTGCGACAAGCAACGGAGTATTGGAAGGACAGGGAATGGCTCAATGTTGGGTGTTACCGCTTCTTCGTCGCCATCACTTTTACCTCAACAGCTGTGTTATGTGTTGATTGCTGTGCCACAATACGAGGCGAGGCAAGCCCCAAATCTCGAACTGCGCCATCTTGATAGGCTCAGATAAGAGTAGACGTAGTCAAACCCCCATTGATAGACAATGCATGAACGGCGGCATCTGCTGGAAAGTTCCGGGGCGAGTATCCGTACTAAGTTCGAACTACTTCGAATAATTGTAACACATCAAATCACAAAGGTTTGTTCGCCTATCTAGGTAGCATACAGTTGATAAGATGTAGAATGACATCGGTATTTCCGTAGAAGGTCAGGTTTGATAATCACGAGTGAGCTGTTATCATCTGCCGTTCACAATCAGCCAGATGGATCGGTTTCCCGATTGGGTGCCATGGTAAGGACATTTTCCAAATGCTTGTACATTATGTGTCTATACGCACAGCTAGAAGGGTCTGAAGGCCGAGCACGGACTATATAGGGTGGACCAAGATGATGTGTTGTTAATCATGTTCATGCTGGAGCTCTTTGGGACAGGTTACCAAGATCCTGGACAACCGAGAAATCTAGGTACCTATTCTCTAAGGTTACCCTAGTTACTACTAGTTCCTTAGTAATGATCTAGGACCGACAGGCGGTCTGTGATTGACCCACAACTCTCGAGATCCGATGCGACGGTGAGTGGCTCATCTCTCCACCCCACTACTAGTACTATACTACTACTGTGTACTACTAGTACTCGGGACTCGGGAGGTTATCAATGATCGGATCTCCCCCCACACAAGCACTAGTAAGGATCTCGTAAGAAGTACAATAGTATGTGTGTTTGGTATTAGTTTAATAATCGAGGATAAGAATTTGTCTGAGATAGTATAACAAGCCGGACCCCAGTACAGAATGATTGCAACTACCACGGCGCACGGGGTCCTTCTCTGCAAGCTTATCCGGTGGGTACAGCTAGTAGTTTATGCATATTATATGTCATCCTATGTGACAGTTGTCCCGACACTTAGTATTGAGGTCTGTAAGTACAATACTACACGCGGACAGACTAACCAGGATAGTTCCTTCATCCGTCTCGACTCCTTCAGCAAGGGATAAATCCACACCCAACAGACTGGGTAATGGTTTCAAACCGCACTGTCGTTTTCATTCGGAAATATTGTCAGATTTTTGTGTTCATCACGATCGGAGGTTTGCGACAATAACTGACCTATTGGAAGTTAATAGTCGAGTTTATTGCGACTAGATGCTTATAAAATACTACCATGATATAGTACTATTCTGACATTTACCAGGTATTCATAATATAAAGAAACTTGAATTGTAAAATCAGGCCAGAAATCAATTCCGATGAAGAATAGAACAAATGTCAACTAGAACTTAAGTCGGAATACTATGATCTGATGAGCCCTTTGTATCAAAACAACTTATTATCGTCGTAAACTTAGTTCGTTGCCTCATAAGTTAGGCGACTTCATCTCCTTGCATCCGATGGAGCGCTGTAAAGTGAACCGAGATGTTCAGCCTCAGCATCTTGTCGAGCAGCGATCGATTGCAAAATATTATTTAATCATATTAATCCCGGATATAAAGTTGTGCTATCCTGAAGCTATCAAAGCAAGGAGGCGTACAAAGAAAAGTTAATCGAATTTTGTTCTTCTAACACTCTACAGCCGTGGTATGAATGCGTATGCATGCACGTAATCCATCATTTTGCTATGGTCTGTAGTAGTGGGTATGTTGGGTATTTTACAATACCGTCATTTAGTGTTCGGCAGCCGGCGGCGGACAAAGGTTTAGTTCGCCTCAACCACAGAGTACTCAACTCAACGGTCTGGAATTACCTTTGCTATCATGTATGGAGCGATAAGTATAGTGTGATTTCATCGTTCAGCCTCGTACTCAAATCAAACTAGGATTGATAGGATGGCCAAACAAGTTACAAACAAGTTACAAGTGTGCTGCACGATGGTTGAGCCGAAGAGCGCACGATATGAGAGATCATAACGCAATTGCCATAAAGGGATTACAAAGATAAGTAAACCGTCATAAGCCCGATTATTCCGGAGGGAAAAAAAAACAAAAATTGCGACATCGTGTCGCGTCCTCGGTTCCACATGGCTTTATCAATGCTAGTAATATGAATTCGGATTTCGCTATGATATTCATTGTTATCAGACTCGGTTGCTGTTCTTATTGAAAATGAAAGATCCAATAGCAATTGTTGGCACTAGATTCATCACTCTGTTACTAGTATTAATGCTCAAAGCAGGTTAAGTTGCTGCAGAATTATCTTCAACTTAATATAGTGGCTGTTATGGATCTATCTAAATAATGTCTATTATAATTAGGGTGTCCTTACCAGTAAACCGTTGCGCAAACAAGTTTCTAATACTAAAGATATCAACATGCAATGCGATAAGGGAGTTACGATCTTTTTAGTTTTAATTTTCTATCTTTCTATCTTTCAAGTCTCTCTGTTTTGGTTTGAGGTATCTTCTCATTTTATTTCTTTTTCTCTTTCGGAGAGTACCTCGTGGGAGTATCTTTATTATATCGCCGCGTAGAACTTAGGACTCTACAATTCAACGTTCACAAATACAACCACCATCTTTGCTGCAGCTTCACGCAAAGATGATACCACCAACAAAAAAAAAAATGAAAAAGAAAGAAAACAAAAATTAAATAAATGAAAATGAAAATGAAAATAATAAGGACTCGTTAGAAGCCAGATTGATTACTCTTCCTGGCTTTGCACATTGTATTCTGATTTATGGTAGTCAGCTAAGATGTGGGTTGTGCATACAACCTCACGTCCGAATCTATGTGTTACCAAGAGGTAGACTGGGCCCTGAGCGGCATATGCTATCAATCGCACTATTTGAATTATGCATAGAATCTTGCATGATCCATTCAATTTGGACAAAGGCAGAGTGTCGGTAAGCATTATATCTCAGGTAGTTTAGAATTCCAAAGGAAGACACCATTAAACGTGACCCTTTTGATATATCAGATAGGTGGAAAAGACCTGGTTAGGATCGACCTTGACCCCA